GCTCTTCCTCAGTAGCATGTTGGACGCCTTCCGGCCTGAGGGGCCCATCTTCCAGTGTCATATCTTTTAGCCTTTTGTTTCTGATCATGGGGCGTTCTTGGCAAAGATACTGGAGTGGCTTGCCATTTCCTACTCCAGGTGGATTGCATTTAGTCGGAACTCTTCACTATGTCCTGTCCGTCTTGGGTGTCCCTGCACGGCATAGCCCATAGCTTCTCTGAGTTACTCAAGCCCCTCCGCCACGACAAGGCAGCAATCCATGAAGGAGCAAGGCAGTTTACCAACTTTTAAAAATAATAAAATAATATAATCCAGACCCACCATAAATACTATTAAAAATAAGCAATTGCATTAAAAACCATTAAAATCATCAAAAGATACAGCTGAAAAATAATAATAATAACAGAGCCAATTAGATACACCGGTCTAAAAACATGCGGTTTTACTGCCTCAGCGTACCAACTTTTAAAAATAATAAAATAATATAATCCAGACCCACCATAAATACTATTAAAAATAAGCAATTGCATTAAAAACCATTAAAATCATCAAAAGATACAGCTGAAAAATAATAATAATAACAGAGCCAATTAGATACACCGGTCTAAAAACATGCGGTTTTACTGCCTTCTTAAAATCAGTCAGAGCAGAAACAGATTGCAACTCAGGAGTACATTCCATTACTTGGAGCCACAAAGGAGAAGGCTTTGTCCTATGTGCTTTTTAAACAGGTTCCTTAAATTGTTGGTACTTTTAAGAGGGCCTTTCCTGGTGATCTTTACAAATGGACATGCTCATAATGAGACAGGAGGTTCCTTAGATTGCCAAGCCCAAGCTGTTTAGGGCTTTAAAAGTTTAAACCAACACCTTGAATTGTACCTGGTAAACAACTGCCAACTATCCTGTTTCCCTGAAAATAAGCCCTAGTATGATTTTTCAGGATGCTCATAATATAAGACCTGCCCCCCAAAATAAGCCTCAGTGAAGTGAAACCCTGTTCTCCCACCATTGTGCAGCAACCAGAAAAATAAAACATCCCCTGAAAATAAGCTTCGAAAAAGCTCAAGCCAGGTGACATCTTTCTTTTTCAAGAAAAGTTATAGCTGGTGCACTGAGAGGAGTTCTACA